CTCCCGCCTCCTCCCGCCGGGGCAGTTCCGCCGGCGGCGGCGGCGACTGGGTGGCAGGTAGCAAGCCAGCCGGCCTCGGTCCGGTAACCCATGGCAACCGCCCTGGTAACCCATAGCAACTGCGCTGCGGAAAGAAAGGGGAAAAAAAACCCGGGTGGAGGGGGGCGGCGGGTGATGAGGGGGAACAACAACCGCAAAGAGGCAGCGATTTACAGCCCAGCCTGCAGCGCCCTCTCCCCTGCCCCACCTGCTTCAAACGTGGGCACATGAGGCCCCCTTCCCAGCGTTAAAAATGACAATTCTGGCTGCTTGAAAAATAGTAACAATATAATAATGCAGAGGGGCCCGGGGTGTCGGGTCTGGTGTGGGAAGGAGCTTGGAATACCGGTGACCCCCCGGGCCGCCGGGTTCGTCGTTTCCAGGGGCTCCTCTGGGTTTGCGAGCGCGCGTGGAGCCGAGACCCCACTGCCCGGATGGGTCTCTAGGACTAATGGGTCAGGGCCCGGCGCGCCAGAGCCGGGGGAGGCGGCGGCGGCCTTTTCTAGTTTAGAGCTGGACCCGAGCCTTTGTTCTGCAGATGCTCGCGCGGCGCTGCGCCCCGCGGCCCCACAGCCCGCCCCGAGATGGGGCGACGAGCCGCTGCCCTAGTCTTGGGTGTGGCTGGGGCCGGGAGGGTCCCCGCGGGCGCCTCTGGGTCGCGGTGGGGCTGGGCGAAACCCACGTGTCCCAAATGTTTTAGGTGCGAACGCACAGCACACAGTAGTTAACCCCTTTCTCCTTTAGTTTCCCCAGGCCCCCAAAACCCGCAGGGCAGATGAGCCGTCGCGTTAACCCGCTCCCTTCCGTCTGGAGAGGGAGGGCACAGTCATGCCTGGTGGCGGGAATGGGCGGCGGGCAAGAAGCGCGTACCTCTGTGTCCAGAGACGGCCCTGGGTCAGATTTAATGTGTGAGGGTCGGGGCGTGCGAGGAGAGACAAGGCCCCCATCCCTTTAGGCCCAGAGCCCAGAGCCGAGCCTTGGAAAATAGAAGCGCACTACGGTGGCATACCCGGCGCAAGGCCGCGGGAGGACAGAGGAGGGCGCTGTCGGGCCAGCGCGGCGGAGAACGTGTCGCCTGGCGTCTGGGTCTGCCCGGTTGCGTGTTGGAGTGGTGGCAGGCTCCCAAGTGGAAAGAAGCTACCCCCCACATAGATTTCAGTCTGCCCTTCGAAGCATCATCTGCTTGCTCATGTATTCTCAGAAGCCCCAGCCCGCAGTCAGATGATGCAGGAAACACAGCGGCACTGGTTCTGTTCCGTGCAGAGCACCTAAGTGCATAAAAAGGCCACTCCGCAAGGAAATGCAGTGGGGTGAAGAGAGATTGCAATAGGAATCGGTGAGTCTATAGTTCTAGGTCTACAGGAGTTCTCACCAGCTGTGATTCCAAGCGCATTTTGATGTTTTAAAAAGGAAAAGGTTTGGCCTAGATGATTTTTGAAGTCTTGAGGGCTTAATCCTCAATTATCCTCCCTCTGTAGATGTGTACCAGTTACCAATTCAAATAACAAAGCCATCGGCAACATCCTTTTTGAAGGCAAAGACCTGCACAAGTATAACACACACACACATACACGTACAATATATGTTCCTGAAAAGGTGATTAGGTCAACAGTGTTATATATATCTAATACTTTTATTGGTAAACAAAAGGGAAGCTAGCTATGTAAAGAATCCTATTTTAATCCTGTCATAAAGAAAAGAATCTTCTGCATATATATTCTTGCGGCTTAGGGAAACGGTTTATTTTCACAAACGTGCACCTTCCGGGTGGGTTCTGCTGCCTGCTGGGCAGTAGGTACAGAGGAGACTGAGCTGTCAGAGGTAAGCGACAGGGACTGGCGAGCGCTGGGATCCATCAGGACGATTCCAGCCCTCTGCATAGTGGTGTACTGGGAGCCCTGTGCTTTAATTTAAATTTTTTTTTTTTTTAAACAAAAGCAATTACAGAAAAGTGCAAATTTAACGTGTGACATTTAACATTTTGCGGTGGCAGGCAGCCTCCACTTAAATGGGGCCTTTCTGCGGAACAACAGGAGCCAAAAGGCCTTGTGTCATGGAGTAATGTAAGACACAATCTGGGCCGCAAACGCACAATGAATCGGGAAGGATTTATGTAATTAATTGACCAGTCTTAACCTGTTATCGTGATGTAAGGAATTTGGAACTCATTAATTTGGGCTCTGACAGATTTCATATTAGAGCTGGCAAATATGGATTGAGCCTCTTATTCTTGTAGCAGCTGGAATTTCCATGACAGTGAGGATTAGTGAAGAAGACCTATTGCCGGAGTCAAACTGCCTCTTTGTAATCAGTAGCCCTGCTCTGCATTAAAGGCATAATGAAAAAAAGAAAATAAAAAAAAACGGAAAAAGCATATTACCTGGCTGAAGGAGCAGAAGGGGCTGGTGCTCATTCTGCTGGTGTGTGTATTGAGCTCAAGCATTTGCAGTTGAATGAAAACATTAGTTTCAATAGTAAAGTTAGGTGGTTTCTCAAGACCTGGAGAGAAGGAGAAGGTAGAAGGGCCTCAAGGTCAGGTTTGGTATTGTCGAAGTTGAAAGGAATTAAAAGACCGAGCCTTTGAATTTCCTTTGTACAGAGGAAATTGTACAATCTCTCTACGAGTTTCCTCTTTGTACAGAGACTGTATGAAGAAGGAAATAGAAGTGTTATGGGGGCATAGCCACGAACGAGCAATTCAGAGCCTTGAAGGAGAGACTGGCTTTTTCAGATGCCACTTACTGTCTCCTGGTCAGAGCTCCTTCATGGAGCACCCCCCTCCCCCCGAATTCCAGAACTCGCATACCGAGCGGTTCCCCGATAATCTAATCTGCATCCTCTTCACAGTATATGATGTTTAATGAATCACTCATTTGGAAATGTCGAGTTTCTTCTTTGAGGTTTAAGAAAACCCAGTAAAAAAATCTTTCATTCCTCTTACCCCTGACAATCAGAAAATGGCTAGGCAGAAAAAGGGTCCCCAAATTAAACTAAATGCTTTTGCTTTTTCTTCCTTTCACAATAGGTTTCCCCTATTGCTGT